CTCAATCATGTTGGCCAACTGTGACCCATAAATATAGTTCAGTGGTGTTGTGTAGTGACAATCCACCCAATAGATGGTGACAAACTGCAAGCTCTACAGAAAAGGTCAAGGTATTATTTACAACTTCCAATTCAGGTCCTGATTAAAACTAATAATAAACCTAACAACAAAGTGGTGTGTTGTGTCTGCGTTGGGTTCTGAGCACAGCTGAGTGAAAGGCCACTGAGTACGAATATAAATAGCTTCTTCTATAAATGATTTACTGTAGCGTACTTTCAGCACTGAAGTATGTGCTGTAGAGAAACATTACTATTTCATAGTCATGCACAAAATTCCAACGCCATTCACGATATAGTTGCCTGACTGTGTATCTGGTGTCATTAGCATCTATGATCTCTGTTGTGCAGCTGCTGTGTCAGTCTGTCATTCACAGATGGAGGGAGGGGACTGCTAGAGAAGCTAATCGCAAAGAATAAATAAATAAAAAGTTAACAATCACAAGTAGAACCGAACTAGAATCTGTTGAGGGGATGTGAATGAACAACGCTATATATGACTTCTTAAAAATGCAAATCCAAGATGCAAAAGTCACAGAAACCCCCTGAACAGTTCCGTGGTGGCGCCGTGGTGAGCACTCTCATCCGACCTTTCTATGTGGAGTTGTGGGTTTTTTTCCAGATGCTCCAGCTTCTTCTCACAAGCCAAAGACATGCATGTCAGATTACCTAGAACAACTAAACTGATCGTAGTCGTGTGTGTGTGTGTGTGTGTGTGTGAGCATTCATGGTTGTCTGTCTCTGTAACCTGTCTGTCAGCTGGGATAAGCTCCAGCCCTCTATGACTCTGTGGAAACAGGCAGCTTAAAGACAATGGCTGGATGGACGGATAGATAGACAGGAGTTTACATTTTGAGGCTCTCCTGTTGTATTTAATGTTGGTCATTATGTCAAATACAAGAAAAGGAAGAGTCTTCTCTCCCATTTAGTGTAATGATCAACATTGTCAATACATGATAAAACAATGTTCTCATAAAAAATATCTAGATCATTAATAAAAGAAATACCAAACACGGCTGCTCTTCTCTGTTACATGTCCCAGTGCATGTGTTTGGGTTATGGGGCTGTAGGTCAAACAAAACAAATCATTTGAAGACATCGCTTCTGGAAGTTGTGGGAGACATTTTCTATCATTTTCAAGCATTTTAAAGACCAAGCTATCCATCAGTTACTCTGAAAAATGATCAACAGATGAATCACTGAAATAGGTCTTTCTTTGCAGTCCTCCATCCATCCATCATCTCTACACCTTAATCCTCACTAGGGTCATGGGGGCTGGAGTCTATCCCAGCTGACTCAGGGTGAAGGCAGGTTCACCTGGACAGGTAACCAGTCTATCACAGGGCTACACTTAGAGACAGACAGTCTTTGCTGTCGTAAACAAGTCAAAACCCACCTAAAACTGAAAGCAAGCAGCACTGACAGTGCACTGAGGAAGGTCTGCAAGCTGCCTGGGTCATAATTCACACTCGGAACAGAAGACAAAAGAGAGAAATCCAAACAAAACAAAGCAGAATTCTGCCAAATGGATCAGGGTTCTACGGGTCTGGATGTGGTTCAGAGCAGTAACTGCAATAGTTGGTGGGTTTTGGTGTCATCTCCCCCCTGATGCTCTTGTTTGCGTGGTAGAGGACTGCTTGATGGCCGACACCTCCCACTATCACGACTGGACAGTAAACCTTCTTTAGTAACGTCTGGCCTTTTAATGTGTTTTTCTTTTCTTTCATTGCTTTCACTTATTAGTCACCCCCTCAAACCCCACCCCTCTGCCTTAGAACTGGTACCAGCCCCTCTTCACGTCATGGTGCTCTCTGCACCACTGCAAGTCATAAATCCAACAAACCGTGACCATAATACAGTCATTTAATATTATCATGTATAAAACTGTGCTGTCTGTGTCTGTATGTTTTGTCTTATTTTTTTATTTGTTTTGTTGTCATATTGCACAAAAACAAACAAACAAACAAACAAACAAACCTGGAAAGCGCTGTTGTGAAGCTAGAATGTGAACCTCAGTGAACCTCCAGGGTCTCCAGCTGAGCTACGTTTGCACTGAGGAGTGCATTCAGGCCTCAACTCCTCTAACTTCTTAAAACACATTTATATCAGAGAGCTTTTCCTGATTTTATTTAAGTTTTTATGTTTTTTAGCTTCCTGCTTTAATCGTGTCCTTTGTACTTTTCTCACTTATTCTGTGTGCTTATTGTATTTTGATTTTTATTTTATTTTTATTGAAAAGCAGTCTGTAACTTTTGTTCTGAAAAGTGCTCTATAAATAAAGTTTATTATTGTTGTTGTTATTATAACTGATTTCAGTTGGTAACTAAATACGTACTGAGTCATGAAGAACGGTTTTAAGCAAACAAACTGCTTCCTAATATTATACTTACTTATATTATATACTTTTTTGTATAAACAATCAGGCCAATAATGGCAGAAACCTAATCTATGATAGATATGATCAAGAGATGATTGTGGACAGTGTCTTCATGCCATTTATTATTCCTAAAACATTCACTGCTGTTCACATTAATATAATCTGGGTGAGTCTGTTCCACTCAACTCTTCCCAAAATCTGTCTCCTACAGAAACACTTTGTCACAGTTACAAACCTCTGCTCACCATCTGCTCCTCCATTTCAAGAAACTGGCGAGATGATCGGAAAAAAGTCACGACTTAAAGACGGAAAGAAAATCAAGACAACTTCAAGTTTAATTTTGAAACTGCCTCTCAGATTCCTGCTCAATGAGCTGATCTTCATCTTCCCAAACATCAGACAATCAGAGATCAAACTTTATGCTGCTCCAAATTTAAGGAAGTGCTATCGTCAATGGGTAAAGTACCTTGTTTGAGCCGTACCTGTGGAAAATACTATTCTGTTGACACACACACACACACACACACACACACACTGAGATTGATAATAAGACTCAGTGGGAGTAAATCATCTCCTAAAGTCAGGAGCAGAGTACTGTGTGGGATTGCATGGACTGCATCATCAGATGTTGCATTATACAGGCTACATATACACATCCTCAGATGGTGGAGGTTTGACTATAAACAGAAACTGGCCCTTACAACAACTGCTCATACGAACAAGAAGCAAACATCCTGACAGTCAGCACTGAAGCACACACTGGCCTGTGCCTTCAAGTAGCTCACATTTGTACAGGTTCAACAAACAGCTGGTGGTCCCTTCAATTCTTCCAACATGCACATGGAAGCACACCTAAAACCAGCCGTCACTGCATGTGGCGAAAGGGTCGATGCTTTAAACACATCAATATCTTTACATGGACAAAGAATCAAATGAGTGTGTGTAATGTGAAAGGAGTGTCTTGTAGTAATGAACCCACACAGAATAATAACCAAGCCTGCAGTCCCCCCCCAGCTTGTTGAAGCCGTTTAACATCTGTTTTTTCATCCCCACCGCAGCGCAGATTGCTGTCATTGTCTTTGTTTTCACCAAGCAGTTGTTTTCAAAGGAGAAAACAAATTGTGATGAAGCCACTGTTCACCACCTGCTCAGCAGCAAACTGCAGACAGACGGACAAGCTGGAACACAACGAGGCAGGACAGGCCTGCTATTATCAGATCCACAACTCAGCATATTTCTGATTATATGTAGCGGTATTATTTTTAACTGGTTTTAAATCAAATGAGTTAATTGAAAAATGTGCTACTTCGGCTCTGATGCCTCAAAGTCCACCCAGAGCACAGCCTGTATTATGAGGCCATGATCACTGAAGGATAAGTTGTTGAAAAGGTCTGTTTTCATTTTTTTTAAATGTGCTGTTCTTAACTTTGACACCAAGATTGTCATTTTTACTGCAAATGTATATCAGTTCCAAATATCAGAAGACTCTCCTTGACTATTAATAATTAGAATCAGTATCTGGTCAATCCCATTCTGGCACAGTTTTTATAAATAGCAACATACTTCTGTCAGGATGTGGTGGAGACCAAACTGGAGTTAACAGGAGAGAGACTAAAGAACTCATATTCATCATGTGAACGGAGACAACAGTTCAAATAAAAGACTAAATGGCCCTTTGTTTACAGCCTGCTGTGCTGCCCTCATCTGGCCAAAAGAAACAATCAGGTAAGTTCCCTGAAACAAGACAACAGTGATTATTATTTCTCTTTTCAACTTCATTACAGATGAACTGCAAGCTCCTACTGATCCCCATCAGACTTTGCATTCAGTCCCTCAAACCCAGCAGGACTCCTGTGCTGAATCACAGCCTGACCTCCACTGACTGAACCGGTTTATTTAAGGTTATGCAGCATAAGTTCAACATTCCTTCAAATACAGATGTTCTTTGAACCAGTCAGTGCTATGATGCTCCCTGTTCCTGTCAGAGGGACAGCAAAGGAAAGTTTGCTTCAAGTCGCCAAACAAAGGAAACGAGTTCTCCCTGGTGTCTCCCAAACATGACGTTGTTCTTCAACTATAACCTGCACTTTAGTCGATGAATCGACGTCGTGCTGCAGGCTACTGGTCAATATGTAGGTTTATGAAAAAAGTTTGAGATCAGGTTTGCTGATAAAATGTGAAAAAACAACATAACCCCAGAATTACAATAAAATGAAAATCACATAAAAGATGAAACAGATGAGCATGAGTGGGTTCGGTTCATCTGAAAATGTAAATATTAATTTAAAAAAGTGATGATGAGCATGTGTTGGGCCCGGTTAGTGCCGGTGCTGTGAGCTGGGCCTGTCTGCAGCCCATCAGGACCGTTAATGCGCACAGAGCCAACAGTACCACAGGACAACACAGCAGCACGTTATTTTCCACTTTGTAAGCTGAGAACATCTCCTGTGCCTTCAGCGGCTGCATCAACAAGCTCTTCCTCCAAGTCTGCAGTAACGCGTTACTTCTCAGCTACCACACTAATGCATTACTTTTCGAGAGGGGAGCCTTACACCTGCTGAGCCCACCTCCTGCAGCTGCTCCAGCTCCAGCCTCAGTGCCTCCTGCTCGGCCTCCAGCTCTGCGTACTGCTGCTTCAGGCTCTGGTTCTCCTCCAGGACCACCAGCCCGCACTCCGCCGCCCGGATCTTCTCGCGGTTGGCCTCCGCCAGCTCCCGGGTGAGGCGCTCCACCTCGGCCCGGCACTGCTCCACCGTGTCCCCGCATCCCGCTCCTCCGGCAGCCATCGCCCCTCTCTCCCTCCCTCTGCCCTCTCCGCCCTGCGTCGGATGAGCAGAGAGCCCCGCCGGAGGGAGAAACAGCTGAGGTAGACAACAAACCCCCACCGCCTCCCCTCCGAGGAATCACAGAGCCGCTTCAAATCTCATCCACAGTAAACATCCGAGGGCTCGATGTCCTCACAGCGCTGCCGTCATCGCGGAGAAAGTCCTCTTCTGCCAAGTGATGCTCGAAATGATGCAGCTTCTCATCATCTGCCCGCATCTCTTTCCCCTCCCTCTGCTCTGTTTTCTGCTTATTCACCGGCATCAGGACGCCATCTCTGCCCGCAGCCCTGGAGCAAGGCACGCTCCCCGCTGCGCGTCATGCTGCTGCAGGCTCGGCGTGTGGATCCCGTCTGGCGGAGCGCAGCCTGCCTCCCGGAACCGCACGGCCGACATGCACGATGCGCCCTCTGGAGATCAGCCTGATCCCTGAGAGCAGCTCTGTCCTCAGCTTCCTGCAACAACAAACCACTACAGACGGTTTCATTTCTACACGTTTTTAATGTTTAATCACATTTTTGAAAAACAGGGAATATACAAAAACAAAGTATGTAGGCAACCCAGAGATCACTATACAATACAGAGAGGCTCCTGGTTTATAGCTGTATAGAGAATTATTTGTACTTTACACCTATGAATATATTCATTTATAGGTGTGTGTTTGTTTAGCTGGCACTGGGCTCTAACATGGCCTACTGAACACAGATGTAAATTCTAATTTATTCATTATAATCTGCATAATTTCAAACAATCTCAAAATACAAAACACACAAACATGTGAGGAGTTTATTCAGATCACACAAACAGGGATCAAAGTGTGCATTCTTACTAATATGACAGCTGTTATTTCTGCTCTTAGCCAAGTATTCAGATATTACTTGTTTTCTACTTCACACCTACATGTAAAGATACTGGTTTGTACTTTTGACTAAAGCTAACCTACAGCCTGTTTGTACATACAGTGATAAATGCATTAGACCACCACCCAATGTCAGGTGTATGCACAGCTGCCCTAAACTAACAGCATTGGTAACTACCTAAATCATTTTTTTTTAATGTTTCTGTAACGGTTCATACACCAGCATGTGTAGAAGCTGTTTAACCAAAATGATATGTTTAATGCTAGAATATAATTATTATTGTTGTCCATGAGTTTTTACATTTACTGTTTTACAAAAGAAGAAAACATAGTAAAGCACATTATTATTTCTTTATTAAGATGTCAAATTGTGTTTGCATTCCTGAACAGAGAAATTAGGTTTAGTGGTTGAATGTAATGCTTGATTCATTTGTGACTCCTCAGAGAAGCCCAGTGGATCAGGTTTGGGTATAAAAAGGTGAATTCAGTTTAAAATTCCTCATTCCAGTTTAAAATGGTGAAACGTGGAGAGCTGAGCGTGAAATAAAGCACTTCAGGATGCTGGATGGTCTACACACATAGATAAACAGTGCTTAACAAATTAGACAGCTGGTCTAATACATTTATTTAGCAATGTATATAAGCAGTGGTACATTTTATCACCACTTCTGACTTCTCACTGCTTCGGTTCTGTTTTTTTAATGGGTCAGCTCAGAACAGCAGCTGTGCATATTATGGCCTGTTTTACTGGATCTCAGTGTTTCCCACAGGTGGAGAATTTGGTGGTGGTGGGCAGAGACTCAGCAGTTTAGAGGAGGAGAGCCTAACACAGGTGTTTAAATAAAGCTAAGATTTACAGATGTCCACCAAATGTCTCACATTCACACTACTGGTAGATATCACAATTTTCCAAGGTTCCTTGAATGTCTCACCTGCATCCCTGGATGCTAGCAGGCCTGTACATAGAAGTCACTGCAGCTCTGATAGGTATGTGGCCAGCAGTTAGTTTGAAAAGACCGAAATAAAACGTCTAATGTCAGATGTAGCTCCGCACGTACCTGTATGTCTGCATGAGACACACAGCGGCTGACTGTCAGGCTGACAGTCAGCCTGCAGCCTTGACACCCTCCAGCTGGGCTCCAGGAACAGCTTCACCCGGTTAGCAAACCACTTCCAGCCCTGTGGCCACATTCCATCTACAATCCCTGCAATTTATCGCAAAATGACAAACGCATTTCTTCTACCTGCCATTGTGTAGAGGATGTGACCGTGCTAGTGAGCCGTGACCCACCCAGCAGCAGGCTGTAGGCTACGGGTTATAAATAGAAGGAGCTGCTGTAGTAGTTTACGACTGCTCAATCAAATAGCATGTACCCTGGAAGCTAACACGGTGTTACTCCAGACAGACTGCTGATGATTGGTCCATGGACAGGCCTGCCCTGTAGCAGCTGCCGTCATCCCATCAGACGTGCAGGAGATGCTGACTCCGCTGCTCATCCTCCACTCTCTCCTCCTCCTCCTCCTCCTCCTGCTGCTGCTGCTGCTGGGCTCCGGCCTCCAATCAGGTGCGTTCATCCTGGTTCCTTCCAACAGGGTCACGTCATCTGAGCTCAATAACGCTCCGTGATCACTGCTATTATTTTTTGTATTTGTAAACTCGGCTTCGGTTAAATGCAGATTTTCTCTGATTGTGGTTTCACAGCCTGTACTGCCCCCTTCTGTGTCCGCCGTTTGTTCCAGTGGGTGGGTTATGCACTGACAGGAATGTTTTGTGTAAAATAGAGTCTAATATATGCTTGGCTAAAAACCTGGACGTGTGCTGATGTGTTCTGTGCTTGTTGGTGTCGCCCTGCTCAGATGGATGCTGTGGATCAACGCTGACATGAGATAAGCGCCCTCTGTCTCCGCCGAGCTGCTGCAGCGCCGCGGACGCACCACAGACGCGAACACTTCGCATCCGAAAACGCCGGAGTACAGAGATTTGACATCCTGTTTTATCAGTGAGCTGTGTCATTCTGAAGGTTCGCCATCTGCCTGCACATAATGGTCCCGAGCCTGCTCTCCAGAGGTGATGTGAGCTGAGCTAGCGGGGAAGCCGCAGAGGAGCTGTGCGTGTGTCGAGGTGCTGATGCGGCTGTGACAGCAGCGAGCATGGCTGCCGGGAAGTTGCTGCTCTACGCCGGGCTCTCTCTTTCTCTTTGCGCCCTGGGGATGCTGGCCGTGGCGATGTGCTCCGATCACTGGTACGAGACTGACGCCAGGAGGTACAGGGACCGGTGCCGAAGCTATTCCAGCCGCCGCAAGGACCCGGGCTTCATCTACATCCCCAACAACAGCCTCCCGCTGCGGGCCAGCCGGAGCAGCCTGCCGCGCTGGGAGGAGAAGCTGCTGCTCGCCCGGAACCGGCGGCAGCTGTTCGCCATGAGCGCCGCGGACGACTGCCACAGGCAGTATAACTCCACCAACATGGGGCTGTGGAGGAAATGCCATCGGCTGGGTTTTGACCAGGAAATCGAAGATCTCATCCGGAAAGGTAAGAATGAAGTGGGTCTGAAGTTGTTGCACGAGCAGCAGCGAGCATCCGAGACGTCCTGAGACACAGACGGTCATAAAACATGGATTGGGCTGCTCGGTGGTTCTGTTCATTTGACCAAAGGGCAGACAAGGGCAGCTGTTTTCCTATGAATGCAAATGTTGGTGAAAGGCTGAGTGTGTGTGTGTGAGGGATGGATGGCCTTGGCTGCAGACTGCTTGTTGTCATGCTACATGTTCATGGTGACGCTGGCCGTGTTCAGGTCTCATTGTCGCTCTCCTGTAGCCTGCTGGAGCTGCTGCTGCTGCTGCAAATGATGACATAATCATTCCAGCCAGCTAAAGCACTCACCATGAGACAGGAAGAGTTCTGGGCTGGGCTGGGAGACATTCTGCCCACTCACTGCACGTGTGGACAGTGTTGTATGCTACAATAATCTGGTCCTGGGACTCATTTAAACTGGCCTCCTACACTTTTAATCACAGCACCACGGTCCATTAACTAGATTTGTACTGGCAGGTAGTAAAGCATGACCCAACCCAACAGGGGGGTTTAGTCAGGTTGCTTCATACTCAGCACTTCACGAAATGCAAAGACTTATTTCTGTTTGAGGTTTGATGTTGTTGTTGTCGGAGTTCCTGCTGATGGGCCAAAAAAGAAGTAATGTGAGAACAATATAAGTCAACACATACCTACATGTTCGACCAAAGTCTGTGTGGCTGTTATCAGAGTGTGAAATGATCAAGTCACATCATACATTTACCTTTGCTGATGTTGCTGAGCAGTAGGAGCAGCTTGGACCCTGCTCAGAGGAGGCCAAAGGGCAGGCTGAGTACCACAGATAGACCCGACACCAACACTATGCATGTTTCATGGATTTATTAAAGGTTTTATGGAAATAGAGCAAAATCTGCTGATAAAAAAATATACATTCAGCAAATTAAATTATTATTTTTGGTGATGTAGACACTTGTGTTAATCCATCCATCNCAACCTCAGAAGTCTGAATCTGAGTTTGCTGGTCTGGCAAAAAATAAAAACAATCAGTAAGTTTAGAAAAAGACACATTTTTAGAAATAAATACTGTATGAGTGGTGTCTTAGTCAGAAGGTATGATCATGATTAAACACAACACAGAGCAGCAGAGATTTACTCTCAACATGTGTTCATCGTACAACAGACGTGTAGCCGACGATCCCTCAACACTTAATTCATATCTGGGTCATTTAAATACACTAAGTGGTCATTGCTAAAAGAATTCTAGCCATTAAATGTATAGAAACTGGATCTGATGTCATTCTTATCTGAAAGATTATAACTTTAAAAGCACTTTGATCTCAGAAAGTCTTTCCAGCCTCCTGGGTTGGTTTTATTTATATTTATTTCTGCAACGGATGGCCCGATTGGTACCAGTCCAATGAAGCTGGATTTTATTGCTAAGAAATGACAGAGCAGCCACTTTGGAAATGGCATACTGAAAATGAAAACAGACTTCAGAAAACTGATTTTGAAACTGCTGAAAATAAGTAATAATGAACTGTTGAAGTGAAAAGAACGGAGTGAAATAACATTTCATTATGATGACTGAATTTCTTCACTGTTGTAATCATATACATTTTTCGTTCATATTTATGAGTCATCTCACGGTGTTTTAGTAACTGATCCAGTCCTGAGCCAGAGTGAGGAGACTTTTATTGTGAAGCTCCGTGTGGCTGTGAGCGGTATATGATCTCTCCTGTAGCCGCTCAGCGCCGCACGTTGCTAGTTAGTTGCAATGTTGTAGCTATTAGCACGATAGCCGTTCCTGCGCTGGGAGGGAGACCCGACGTTCACTTTAATAAACCTACGGCTGATTCTTACTCATTTACAGTCTGACCAGCTGCTAGCCAACAGAAATTATTCAACAGACTACTCGTTAGCTTGTTGTCTTGTCTTCCTGCTAGCCCGCTAGCTTATCCAGCTTGCTAGCTAGCTAGCTAGCCGCTAGCGTTGTACCGTCTCCTCCCAGTGACAACCGTCTGCTGCCCGGGTGGAGGACCATGGCGATGAGGCAAACTCCTCTCACCTGCTCCGGTCACACCCGGCCTGTGGTGGACCTGGCCTTCAGCGGAATCACTCCTTATGGCTACTTCCTCATCAGCGCCTGCAAGGGTGAGACCAGTAAAGAGTTTGTTAGGAAAAAGAGCTTCATAGAAAATTCACTGTTTCATGTTGAAAACGTCAATCTGATAGCAGAAGTCTTCCCTCCTGAGTCCGGCAGCTTTGTGAGACCTCAGTTTCAGTTCTCAGTAGTATCAACTGGCTTTATTTTATTTTTTAAAACATACTTGAACAGGCTACTTTTAAAGAAAATGTTTGTGTTTGGTAATTTTTAAGCGCTTGGAATAAAATGTGTTGTCAGTAGACAGTGGCTTCCTCAAGCTGCCGTTACAAGGCAAAAAGGAGACGTCATCAAAGTGAGCCGGGCCAGGACACACCTGTTGACTGTAACACAGGCTCTGTCAGTGCTGCCATCTGCTATTACACTGTCCACTGGAACATCTCTGTCCTCCCTGCTCTGCTTTGTCAGATGGCAAGCCCATGTTGCGCCAGGGAGACACAGGGGACTGGATAGGAACGTTTCTGGGTCACAAAGGCGCTGTCTGGGGAGCCACTCTGAACACAGACGCCACCAAGGCAGCCACCGCCGCTGCTGACTTCACAGCGTAAGTGGGAGTGTGCACTGCAGGAGGTTAACACACCTATAATGAGTCCAGACACCCAGTCATCCTCAATACATCTCTTGCTGACTCATTTTTCTTTCACGTCAAGACCTCAGTTTACAGGCGATTTGTCTCACATCAAACACTGCACACAATTTTTAGGGGTGTTTTAACACACTGTGTTCTTTGTAGATGTGTAAATCATTTCATTTGGTCAGTTAATATTGATTACAACAAAGTGGTGATTGATCACCAGTCAGGTAAATAAAATGTGTGCATTGGAGGAGGCGATATTTGTTTTTATCTCGTGGTCTGTTCATGCAGCTCGATTATTTAATGAACTTTCTCTCTTTGGGCTTAATTAATTCAGGCTTTCTGCTAATACAAATAGGTTCCCTTTAAACTGAGGTGGATTACCACGGTTACCTGTGCTGCAGAGCTGTCCTACTCCTTGCATGATATGTGTGTCAGAGATTAGAGGTTTATTTATTGAGTTCTAAACATGCATTTGCTTTTCCTTTCTCTGTATCTTCTTAGTTCTTTCTTCTAAATCACTGAACAGATTCTCATTTGACACATGTTGATTGGAAAGACGGGCGTTTTTAAATCTACATAAACCGTTGTCAGTTAAAAGATCACGTGTGTGCTTTCCAGAAAGGTGTGGGATGCAGTGAGTGGAGACGAGGTCCTCTCCCTGGCACACAAACACATCGTCAAGACTGTCAGCTTCACTCAGGTCAGTTCAGCTCTTGAATGCTATAAACTCCTCAGATGACAGCTTTGTGATTATAATCAGCCCCTACTCATTTTTGCCCTGCCAATAACAGTCTGTTGAAATTTGAGATTTTAATCTGTAGTAGATGGTATAGCAGGTAATTACAGATCAGTGATGATTCCTCGGATTATGTGTGTACAGTCAGTGGTTGAATATACTTCTCCCACAAAATCTTGGCCTGTCATCAGATGCAGTCATGGAATTGGTTCTAGTTAGTGCCAGCTGATATGACCCATTGTTTGTCTTCTTGACCAGCGTCATAAGTGAAGATCTGCACAGGCTGAAAGTGGGAAGCCTCTACCGGGGGCCGGGGGTGGGGGTGGGGTTTTTGGTTCCTTTCCACGTTCGCTGACTGCTTGCTCATAGAAAATCCAAAGAGAACTTTGTTTGGTTCTCTGTTTAAAATGTGTATGGTCGTCGTCTTACTAAGTGAAGTGCTATGAGATGGCTTTGTGCGTGAATTAGCTTTAAATAAATAAAACTGAGTTGCGTTTAATTGAATTGAATGAAATGTTTTGTTCGCTGAACTTTGCTAATTGTCACATGTGCAAGTAGAAAGCTTGTGCTCATGCCCGACCCAAACTTCTGCCTGTGCTCCTCAGGACAGCAACTGTCTGCTGACTGGCGGCAATGATAAGCTGCTGCGCATATATGATCTCAGCAATCCTGAAGCAGGTGAGTGAACATGCCAAAGAGGTAACAGAATTAAGCAACTGTACCTGAAGCTAACTGTAGAGTTTGATGCATTTTGCTGAGTTTTGAGCTGCTTCATAATTTCCTGTAAATTCTGCTGTGGTCGGTGCAACACTGTCCTCTACTGGAGACACATGTCGGTGATGCTGGTCTGACTCCCAGGATGTAGGGTGCGGTACGAGCCACCGATCATTTCAGTCGGCTTTGTCTCTGTTACTGGTGTCTTTACTACGGGAAACAACAAAAACAACCTCTGAACGGCAACCTGCCACGCTGAAAATTTCAGGTTTTGCAGAGGATTTGGATCATGCAGTGAGGCAGTCCTGCTACGATTATACACTTTACTCACAACACTCATCTCCCTGCATGCAGATATTCCACCTGTCACTACTTTGAGGGAACACTGATCTACATCCTTTGCTTAGCTCTGCCCATGACAACTGTGATTGGTTTAAAGAAATACAAAACAAACACCCCAACCCGTCCTGCTATCCCCCACTCCCCTTATCCCTACTCTGACCCAACCAGTTGAGGCAGATGGCCAGCTTCCCTGACCCTTTGTTGGGTTCTCTGTCCAAAGTTCACAAGGTCGTTCCCTTACTGTGTGAAGTGCAATGAGATGACATATGTTGTGAACTGATGCTATATAAATAAATAGAATAGAATTTTTTGTCCCCGATAGCAAAATGATAGTGTGGTGCAGCCAGACCAGGAGAGGGAACACAGGGAACGTTCTGTTGTACAGAATGATGTGCGAGTCCACGTTAAAGTTACTGGTGAAAAGTGTAGATGTCGTCAAAATGGAAAACAGGCATTGTGCTCGGCCTGCATAGTTTCTGATTTGAAATCGAGACCGTTGCCTCTGTGTTTCCTTCAGCACCGCAGGAGATTGCAGGTCACACCTCAGCCATTAAGAAAGCTCTGTGGTGTAACAACGACAAGCAGATCCTGTCAGCTGCTGATGACAAAACCATACGGTCAGTGCACTGTCTTGTTATGGTTTACCTTTATTCTTCAAGATCCTAATGTGTGTGCCACACCTTCAGCTCATCCTGACTGTGACTGCTTTGTGCTGTAGCAGAGACTTATCCGTCTGAAAAGTCACTTCTCTGACAGCAGATACACCGGAGATGTTTTTGATATTATAGTGTGTGTGTCTGTGTGTGTGTCTGTGTGCGTGTGTGTGTGTGTGTCCGTGTCCGTGTCCAGGTTGTGGAACAGAAGCTCCATGGAGGAGGTGAAGACGCTGACATTTGACACGTCAGTGAGCAGCATGGAGTATGTGGCTGATGGAGAGATTGTCGTGATCACATATGGAAAGACGATTGCTTTCTACAATGCTTTGAGGTACTTTGTGCTCTCACCATAAAAAGTCACACCAGAACACTTTAAGTGATTTTCTTTCTGTTTTAATAGACAGTTCATGCTGTGTCATCTAGTGCGGACATCTCTGTCCTGCCCAAAGTTCGGGACTTAGAAATGCAAATGAAATGCTTGTGTTGAAGCTGTGCGAGGAGATTTGTCATTATCCGCACGTTTGTAATTAAACATTTCACAAGTAGTGAAAGTAGTTGCTGCCAGACTTTGGAAGTACTTCAGATGGTATCGGCTTTAAATCGAATGTGGGAAGTTCCAGATTCTCCATAAATATTCTTTGCTGTGTCTGTCCACTGACATTGACTGTAAAGGAAACAAACTTCAGCTGCAGCTTATTCCATAATTCCTGGCAAACCCCAGGAATAACCATAGACAAGCTGCTAGAGTCCAGTCTGTAGCCAGCTGCTGCACTTTTTCTCATATAGCCAGCAAAAAGTTCCAAATCACCGCTAGCCTTTCAACAACATCCGCAGGAAGCCGATGTATATTCCTGTGGTCGATGTGAAGGGCAACTTGACTTGTCTATGTGGCAGACGGATATGTTCCCTATTTGTGGTATTAATGGAGGAGTGTGTGTCCGTGCTCAAGGAATGCACAGGTCCGCACGCACACACACGTAAACATCAAAGTGCCTTTACTCTTTGCATGGTAAAGCACCAGACCTTGTAGGAATGCTTACGTTGTGTTTCACCATACTTAAATACAGAAATAGCAATGTTAGAACATTCTTATAACATGAGTGTTGCTGGTTATCTGATGATTGTCTTGTGTAGTAATAATTGTTTGTGTTATCAAGCTTGGAACTGATCAAGACCGTGGAGGCCCCGGCTCCTATCAACTCAGCCTCCCTCCATCCAGACAAAGACTTCTTTGTTGCCGGTGGAGAGGACTTCAAACTCTACAAATTTGACTATAGCACTAAAGAAGAGCTGGGTGAGGAACACAGAGCTTGGTTACTGTACAGACTAACAGAAAAGAGTGCATGACTGAAAAGGCCCACCACCAAGCAAAACATGACTCAGTTGAATATTGCTGCTGTTGCTCTTGTCTGCAGAGTCCTATAAGGGTCATTTTGGCCCCGTCCACTGCGTTCGATTCAGTCCGGATGGGGAGCTGTACGCCAGTGGCTCCGAGGACGGCACGCTCCGGCTGTGGCAGACGGCGGTGGGAAAAACCTATGGGCTGTGGAAGTGTGTCCTTCCTGGTAACTCTCCAACTTAAAACACTTGTTGATGTGGTTACTGCTGGTCACAGAATCTGGTAGACATGATGAAAATGCAGCTGCAGAATGGAAATATTACCTATTTATATTTATATATGCTGAAAAGTAACATGGTAGATGTATATAGAATAGAATCAGATCTATTGTCATTGCACACGTACAAGTACAGAGAAACCAAATTACCAATATAGATATTGTATAAGATGATCTTCATTCAGAGAGAGATGTTGTATAACAGATGTATGCTGGACAATACGACCTGCAACGTTTACCTCTGAAGCCGGTTGGAACGTTTGTTGAAATGCAGGTCCTCTTACAGAATACTAGAAAACTGATCACTTGTCTTCCTGTCTGTGGGAATCAAAGTTGAAGTATTTTACACTAGAAGTTAGGATCTCACTTCTTCTAATGTGGGTCCTGGTGGCAGTTTTAATAGGATCATGGAGACATGTAGTACAGCAGTGTAGTTGGGAGTTTTGAGTGACAGATTTGAAAAAGGGTCAAAACAGGGACAGGAAGGGCTTGGATCCCACAGCTCCAACAGTGCAACTTGGTCTTTTATTTATCTATTTCTATCTGAGACAACTCTGAGGACATTTTCTTGGACTTGAAAGTTGCCAACTGTTTTTTCAAACTCTTCATGAATTGACTGTTCACTTGCTTCCTAATACACTGATGGGCCACAGAATTAAAACCACTGGCAGGTGAAGTAAATAACATTGAGTATCTGGTTGCAGTGGCAGCTGTCGTGGCGTGGGATATAATAGGAAAGCAAGAGAACTGTCCCTTCTTGAAGTTGATGTGTTGGAAGCAGGAAGAGGGGAGTGTAAAGATCTGAACACCTGTGACCAATGTGTGATGGCTAGATGACTGGGTCAGGACAGCTTCAAAACAGCAGGTCTTACTGGATGTTCCTGGTATACAGTAAGTTGTACCTACCATAAGTAGTTCAAGGGAGCACAGCCAGTAAACCGGTGACAAGACCGTGGACTTATTGATGTGTGGGGAGACGGGGGCTGGGCTGTGTGGTTTAATCGCAGGGAAGACGTACTGTAGCATGGGCACAGCATTATCTGATGGCAGTGGCCTTTTTCAGCAGGACAGAGCTCCCTACTGTACCGCACACATTGTTCAGGGGGCGTTTGGAGAACATGAAAAGAGTTTACGGAGTTGATTTGGCCTCCAAATTCTCCAGATCTCAATCTGATTGAACATCTGTGGGGCACACTTACAACAAAATCCCCACCTCCCACTTTACAGAACTTGGAGGATCTGCTGCTAACATCTTGCCTGATACCACAGGACACCTTCAGACGTCTGTGGATGGAGTACATGCCTTGATGGGTCAGAGCTGTTTTGATTTTAAAGTTGTGGCTGATTAGTGTATATTTTTAAAGGTGATGTTTGCTTGATAGATGTTACATGTTTATCCCACTTCAGCTTTACTTCCTCCACCTAAATGCAAATTTCCTTGTTTCAAGAAAAAAAAAATGTCAACAATGAAGCAACTCTCTAGGCTTTAAAACATCTGCTGAGAAACCTGCTGACCACCTATCTGTGCTTTAAAGAACACATCTGGAAAAGGTCATAGAAACGGACTCCTGCCAGCATCAGCTATTGCAGGATGCTGTGCAGTGGCAGCGATGCCGGGGTCATGTCATGTATCAGATTGTTCTAATTCTTCCTCCTATTCTTTTGTTTTGCATTCTCAGAGGACCTTGGGGCAGAGAACTCTGAGCAGCTGTACACCCCGACCCCTGAGATCAAAGCCTGAGAACAAAGGGCTACCGTTTGGAAACCAGATGAGAAAAAAGGTAGAAGGAAAGGAGATGAGCGGAGGGGTGCTCCAGTGTGTTCTATCAGGCCCAGCGAGGAGCAGAGTCCAGAGCATCTCCGTCCATCAGGAAATGATGTGGATGTTATGACTGTCCTGTCATAGACCAACGATCACACACCCACACACACATTAACATCACACACTGATTTAGAGTCATATGGACAGTATGGGCTGCAGAGTAAAGCAGTAGAGCTGTGAGTGTCGCTTCATCGCTGCCTGCTTTCTCTCTGATCAGCCCAGTTCTGTCTGCTTAAACTTATTTTAACTTCCCTCTATACCATGAACCCCAAACGACATGATTCAGTTTTGGTTTCAAAAAGAAGGTATTTAACGAGCTGGACCAACGCATATGTTTTCAGTTCATAGTTACAAGGATACTGGAGGTAGTTGCACAGTTTGTGCAAAAGTTAATACGCCTTCATTTCTTCCAAAAGAGAAAACAAAAAGAAACATTGCTTTGAGTATTTGCTTGTGTTGTACTGGTTGAGTATATGAAGTTATGTGTTCAAATAAAAGAAAATATTGTTTTGTGACAAAGTGGAACAGAAAGAAATGTCACTGGGTTTTTCCAATTTGGTTATTGTCTTCATTTGTGTCCAGTGATGAAATAAATGCATTTCGGTTTTATTTGTAAGTTATGCACAAAACAGATTTGGGTGTTTTTTTAATTGCTTTTTCCATTCCATCTGTGCCAAATGTAAATGTTGTTGTGGTGTTTTTGTTTATTTCCCCCTATACTTGCTATACACAGAGTTCTTTTAATTAAGCTAAACCATGATATAAACTCTGAACAGATACATGATTTGAGGTGATATTGCCAATATAAACTGATATCAGTTGCCTTTTGGGCAATGCATCATGTATTTTTAATTAGCTTTGTTAATCACTGGAAACCAACAGCCAGGGGTTTCTAGATGGAAAACAGTAGCAGTCTGCATATTCATGAGAAACTTGTTTTTATTACTTAACGATTAACTATTTAAACGACTAGAGGTTATGAGACTGGAGGATTTTAACTGATAAAGATGTTTTGACACAAACAGTGTAGTACTCATTGGCTTTAATAGAGGGACACAACACCACGTTAATGGCTGATACAGTGCTGCTGCAAAAAATATAGATTACAAAACAACTTCGAGATCTGCAGACAATAACGTCCATAGAAAACCTACATGCTTCCATGCTCTCCATGTAAACATGGACATTAGATCAACTATTAGATCAGTAAAGTAGGACATTCCTACAGATGCAAAGTCGTTCTTAAACCAAAGGTCAGATTCGACGGTTACGGGATTTCTGGGAGAACCAGTCTGAAGGCTCCTGTTCTAACACGATTATCAGGATCGACTGTGTCCCACAAGTCTTCGCTTTGAATATTCCTTTCAAACAACTGTGAGGAAACAAAACAAGCGAGCTGTGGTTTGATTCCAACACCAACACATTTTCCACCAATCAGAAGGCGCGTTGTAACAGCGTCTGACCAATAGGAGTGCTTGTTCCCAGGCGGCCACTTCCAGCCCGGGTCATCCCCATGGTCGTCCCATGATCCCTCGGCCTGCTCGGACTGCTCCCCCAACAGCTGCACCGCGCCTCGCTTTCATTTCTCCATTTTTCTGCGCGGCGGAGGAAGTGAGAACAACAGCAGCGAGTCATTCATTTTCCTTTTTCGCTCCTTGCTTCTCCTCTGAGGGACACTTTTTTTTTCTTTTGAAGCTCCGTAGCTACCAGTTGTTTTGCGGTTTGAATCCAGTGAGAGGCGCTGGTTAGCCGCTCCGCTCGGACTGAACCTTCCCTCGGTTTGTTCCTCCTCGGCGTTAGCTAGCTAACTTACCCGGGCCACGGTGAGATTGTGTCCCTCCATCTGCCCGCCGACATGCCGGAGTACCTGGACGACCCGTCTGTGCTCACCAAGGACAAGCTGAAGAGCGAGCTGCTGGCCCACAACGTGGAGCTACCGAGCGGCAACCCCAACAAGGACGTGTACGTGCAGCTCTATCTGAAGAACCTGACCGCTCAGAACAAGAAGCATGTCCCGGCCACAACTCTGGACGCCTTCTCCAGCGACGAGGAGCTGCCGCCGCCCGTCGTCTCCAGCAGAAGTCGCTCCTCCGGCAGGGTGAGTTTGTTCATCCGCCTCTGGATCAGCGGTGGTTGGTTTGCAGAAGCTTCCACACCTGCGCAGAGCAGAGCCGGTGCTCCAAGTTTACCAACTAGTTCTGAGCTTTTCTCTGCTCAGCTGCCGACATATAGAAATACACTAAGCGTTTATCCACCACATGGTTTCTGATGAACCGTCTGTGAAGTCCTCTAACACATAGAAAATAACAAGAGAAGCTCCTCACTAGTGAGCAGATGCTTCTGATGTTTGCCCACGTTGCCATAAACCTCTGATCTGCTTTAGCACAGAGACCCTCCATCGACTGGACTGGGGCTTTATTTGTTTTATTTATTTTTTATTTTTTGCCGTCGGTTTCCACCCAAAGAGTCCGCCGGTTGCTCTCTGTTCATCAGCTAACGACAGAAAAATACTTTCAGTTTTTTTTTTACTTTCATCAAATTCTCAAGCACTTTATTTTGAAATGCGGCTGCCGAACATTTTTCCATGAGACCCCTTTCTGTTCTCCAGCCTCTCCGAAAAGTCAGTGGACTCGTGTTTGGGAAGTTTTACACCAAACACACATGAATGAACGTGCGGCCGAACCCTGATCACAAACCAGAATCCCACATCCAGCTTTCACTTCCCTCCCACAGAGTTTCCCGCTTTGCCTCAGCTCTGGTCGGAGGAGTGTCCCTGGTGTTACAACACCACCACAGCAGCCCAGAGTCCTGCTCCGGATCATAGAGCCAGCTGTTTATACCTGAGATGAGCCACACTTAAATATAGAAACTGATGAAAAGATGCTGACTTTTTAAATGTATTTTATTTTTCCCCTGTAAATGAAAGTTAATGCTGAGAAGTGTTGCACATGTTTAGCTGCTTACTTTGAATTCTTAGCAGCACTCATCTGTTTTTTTAAAAATAATAATCCCCCTGCAGCCACAGACCGCCTGCATTCCTCAAATACTGTGGAGCAGGTCAATAACGTTCCTCTGCAGCATGACCCGGAGAGCACGCTGACTTTTACGAGCCTGTCTACAACTGTTAGCATGCAGTGATTATGAGCTGATCAGTCATGTGTCATCAACTGTCAGGTGCCCAGAGCTCGTCAATAAAATGACAGAAAAGTAGTTTGATAATCCGGTAACCATGCAAGTCCACCAGAAGTATGAAACTTTCTTTGGTGTCAACTTGAATGTCCAGATTTGGTGCTTTTCTTTGTTTTGTATGATTCATCGATCAGCTGATTTTATCTGTTGGTCTGGGCTTACCACAGAGACAGAAGTATCTACATGCACTGTGTCTGATGTCTGCTGATATGAACACGTTTTTATTGAACATAACCCAGAAAAAAAGATGCTAGGGGTAATTTCGAAATGGTTTTATCGCAGTTTGTCCAGCAGAGTGACTCCGACTCCGTTATTTCCAACATCACCCACACTGTCTGCAGCACATGTAGTAGAGTATCGTCATCGTACCGCCTGGTGACCAATTTGTTCATCAGTTAATTACACTGAGTCAGTCTGAAAGGTAATGTTTGGCAGCAGCACTAGTGTGAAATTTTATTTAATTTGCATCTTGATTTGGGGGCTGCAAGGTGACTTGGTGGTTAGCACTATTGCCTCACAGCTAGAAGGTCGCTGGTTCGCGTCCCGGGATCGTTCTGCGTGGAGTTAGCATGTTCTCCCCGTGCAGCGTGGGTTCTCTCCGGGTTCTCCGGCTTCCTCCCACAGTCCAGAAACATCCATCCATCGTCTATACATCTTAATCCTCAC